GGTAAATTGGGAAAAGTATCGAGTATGTACTTGGAGTTACTTGTATTGATTCATCCCTAGCCACAGTGCCTACCCACCTTCTTGATCTAATAAATATTTTTTTATATACATATGTAAATACATACATGCAAACATACTGGTTTCTCCTCTCACTGAGTTATTCAGTAGCCTTTTAAAAATTTATGTTTTCGATCGGCATATAACTTTAATTAAGTAGTCGAAGCCACTATTTTCAACCGGATATGCTTGGCGCACTCAAACCTCAGGAAGGTCCGCCATCATCTGTTGTGTATAAATTTGTCGTTGACGAAAACATTACATACACTTGAACGTAATTCTGCGAATCAAGTTTCTGGCACCTAAAATCCAATACTTCTGGCACACAATGACGAATGGCTCCGACACACCCGCATGCAAGCTTTTGAGGTGTTCTTCTTGCAGAATTAAATACGTAATTCGACGCAACTTTGGTAGAACGATGGGATGAATAGCGTTGATATTTATCTCCGCGGCATGAATTCGCCCTCGAACCCGTATGAGGTCATGTTCGTCGACGAATGGGAACGCGAACTCGACTCTTTGCTGCACATCAAACTTTTCCGATCTTCTCGAAAACAGTCTTTAGCGTCTTTTTCAAGTATTCGCTTTGCATCTTCAAACTCACAATAATTTAACAGACCAACGCTGATCTCCCTTTTATGTGGATGAAAACGTTTGATAAACCGCAAGATGTAAGCAACTATTCTGACCAGTTCATTCCAAGATGATCTTTCAATAAAATCGGCAAGTGAATGGTTATTCTCTGGAGTTGTTAGAACTAAGCTCACGTCTTTTGATTTAAATTCCTTTGCTGCGTCGTGTGAAAGTGCTTTAGAGGGCTTAGATTTCAATAACACAACAAAAAGGTATATCGTCCCTTAGTCAAAGAGGGGCATTCCACCAAAGATCAAAACTAGACAAACCAAACGGCACTTTGCAGAATTGATATTGACCGCTATGTGTTACAAACGAGGTATATCTGCGGCTAGAAACAGACACAGGAACATGAAAAAAACAATTTTTTAAGTCTTTGGCACTAAATATTTTTGCGTTTTGCAAGCGATCTAACTGATCTTCAATTAAAGGCAACGGAAAACGATCTTTGATAATAACTTTGTTAATTTGCCTTTAATCTATGCATAATCGATGGCCACCATCTCTTTTTTTAACAAGTACTACGGGACTGCTAATCTCAGACTTCGAACTCTCAATCACACCGTCTCTTAACCACTCTTCTATTTGATCTTCAACTATGCACCTTTCTTTTAACGGCAGTCGACGCGGTCTAAATGATATGGGTGTTTCGTCTTGCAACACGATTTTCATTTCAACGTTTGTTGATTTACATTTCTCCGGCTTATAATTATATACCAAATCACGCACTTCTTGCTTCGCTACCGCACTAGCACTCTCATCAATGTCAATCTCTTCTGTTGTTATTCCTATATTCATCATAGGAAATGTCACTTCATTTTCAACGATATTTTTCCATCACGATTGATATGTATTTCTGCTTGAGAACAAAATTCCTCTCCAATTTCTACGTCCACGTACGTACACTTTGCAGATACCACCAGAAAATTTACACAAAAAATTTCGTTATCAATCATAGTTTCAATATTTAGTTTCCCTTTAGGTTTTATATTATTTTCGGATTTTCTCCCAAGGATTTATAAACACTGTCAGTCATGATATAAAATTTCCTACCAGTATAAAATAAACCAAAATATTTCTGATCTTTAATAATCACTAGTTTGCTCATAATATTGTTTTTTGCACACAAGTATCGCGCATTACTTTCTTCTATTTTTTCTTCAGCTTTCGGGAAATTCTTCGAAATGTGTCCAAATTGCTTACACTGAAAACATTTTGTACCTTTCCCATTGTCTTTGCAGTCAATACTTTTGTGACCTTTCGTACCACAATTATAGCAAACGAGCTTGTCTTTTTCGTTTTTCACTACTTTCTTTTCATCTATTTGTATCTCAAAATTTTTCTTATAATTGTTTCTCATTAGTTCGTAGATTTTAATTTTTCTCTCTTTAAATTTTCTATTTAACATTTTATCTTTTTATTTATTGGCCGTCATTCACCAATACTTGCATTTTTGCATCATATTCAGATTTTTCCATTACTACCGTTACATTTCCTTTATCAGCATTGAGGACATCTTAGTCCTCATAGCCACTTACAGAGTTTTAAAACGCGACCCGACGAATAAATTACAGGACAAGAATAATGACATAGTGGAAAGAATGTACAATAACAAAATCATTGATTTGAATGAAAAGAATTCCCTTATGTGTAAAACGGCTAACCCACCGAGAATTTATGGATTGCCGAAAATCCATAAAGATGGCACTCCACTCAGGCCTATTTGTTCGTCCGTCAATTCTCCGTCGTATAATTTATGTAAATATCTCACTAACATTCTGAAAAATTTAACAAAGTCCTCCAAATATAATGTTAAAGATGCAGTGGAGTTCAAAAACAAGATTAAAGGCTCTTATGTATATGATGATGAGATTTTAGTGTCATTCGATGTTGTGTCCTTATTTCCCAGCATACCCGTAGATTTGGCCATCGAAATCATAGCCTCAAGATGGGACGAAATTAAAAACCTAACCTTTTTGACGAAAGAACTATTCTTGACAATACTAAAATTCTGCGTTAAGGAGAACCGTTATTTTAAGTACAATGATAAAATCTACGAGCAACGATCAGGAATGCCAATGGGTTCTCCAGCCTCACCTATAATCGCGGACATAGTCATGGAGGAATTACTGGCAAAATTTGAAAGGGACTCCACTAACAAACCGCGTTTACTGACCAAATACGTGGATGATCTATTTGCTATTATTAAAACCCAAGATATGGACATAATGCTACACACACTCAACAACTACAATAAGTCGATTAAATTTACAATAGAAAAAGAAAATAATGGACAGTTATCTTATCTTGACACTCTAATAATAAGAAGAAATAATTTATTAACAATTGACTGGTACAAAAAGCCGACTGCGTCTGGGTGACTAATTAACTTTCACTCCAAACATGAGAAAAAGATAATTCTAAATACTGCCAACAACTTCATTAGAAGGGTCCTCTCTATAAGCGACAAAATTTATCACACAAAAAATATTGCTGTTATTAAAAGAATTCTGGAGTATAATGATTTCCCCTTGTCGTTGATAAACAAATTGATTCGTAATTACTACGTTGGTACCACTAAACAGGGGACAAATAGAGACAGGGAAAATAAAATTTACAGATTATCGACATATGTTCCAGGGATATCCGAAAGGGTTAAAAATTCGAGTATATATGATAAAGATAATTATACAATTGCGTTTACATATAATAACACACTACGACAAATCTACAGCAATACAAAGGACAAGATTCCGAATTTTGAGAAATCCAACGTAGTGTATAAAATTCCATGCAATGGCGACGGGTCCCACGTATGTAATAAGGTATATGTGGGGACAACTAAATCAAAGTTAAAGACAAGGATTTCCGCTCATAAGTCAAATATTAAATTAAGGAACAACTCCTCGGACAACAAGACGGCCTTGTCATATCATTGTAAGAATACGGGACATTATCCAAACTTTGACAACGTAGCAATTTTAGAAAAGGAAAAACACTACCATAAACGCTATACTTTGGAAATGCTACATATTATGAACACCCATAACAATAAAAGGATGAACTTCAAATCGGACACCGACAATTGCGCGCATGTTTATCGCAACTTAATTCTAAGACAACAACAATTCATAGCATACGTGTCATGTGTTCGTTCGCAGTCCACTGTCATTCCGTACCTTATATGTTTCGGACAACAACAAAAGAGAGCTGCAGTGATATGCATACATATTTATGTCTTACTGTTCGTTTTCCTATGTATTGTTGTTCGTGGATTTTTGTTTACAATTACTGTATTTTGAATTGTTTACATTCTCATGTTGATGTTTTCTACTGTCTCCAAATTTGCTTGTTTAATTATTGTTTTTTCGCTCATCTGTTTCAGTCGATCAAACATTGTCAAATGTGTAAGTTGTACTTGTTTAGGTTTATACGTACATATGTATTAATGTGTGTAATTATAATAATGTATTTTTCAGTCCTGAGGATGACTTCAGACTGAAGTCGAAATATCGGCAAATAAAAACAAAAGTAAAATCAAAAATTTTATTTCGATTTTCATGTGGCCTTGAGCTCGAAAAATATACAATTTTCTATTTAAGCTCTTAACTTAAACCCTTTTAAATTGAGAACGATTTTATTTATATTTGAGTCACGAATACCCTCAATAACATACTGCATCAAGGCGCTAGCTCTTTCATGCACAAAAAATATTCTTGTACCGTTTCTTCCGTTTTCATATTTCTTGCGCTTAGTTGTTTGTGTATTTTCGCAGTGTTTACAACCATTTTAAATTCTTCTGCTAATGCCGCTTTTAATTTTTGCCAAGCAGTTATTCCCCGTTCACTTGGAATAAACAATTTAGCCAGCCCTCGTAACGACTTTTTCGCAAATATAAACTTTTGTAGTTCATCCCAACCCATCAAAATAGCCGTTTCTTCGAACTCGTTCAACCATATTTCAACAGCAATATTTTCGCTTCCATCGAAATGTCTAACAGAATCTTCGAAGTCTCTGAAATTGATGGAAAACCGCGACATTTGTATCGGTTGTGCAACCGATGTGGTTTTTGTAACACCTGTTGTACCTAATTCAACATTTGGGTTTTCTGTATTTCTCCTTCCCATCCGCTCCCTCTCGAAATGTCGTGCATTCGTCCGATGTGGACATTCGAAATTTATGTAGATTATTCGCAGATAATTCTTCAAACTACGCATAACATCTTCGTCATCCTTTTCGCTATTATCGTCCATACCACATTCGATTTCTTCGTCGCTGTTCTCAACATTATCTACTGCAGCGCATAATAATGTTGCCTTCTGCAAATTTCGAAAAATATGCAGCTTCAGATCCGCCACGTTGCTATTTAAACCCAATACGTTACAAATGGCTTCTAGATCGTTCGTTAACAAATTGTTCTCTATGTACCCAAGCTTTTGACCGTATTGATCGTCATATTCGTCGAATTGAAATCCTGTGAATTCACGCAAACGTTGTCTGTTTAATCTTTCGCCTTCTGATTCAAATACGAATTTGTGAAGAGCAGCTATACTCTCTTTCCGGCTTCTACACAGCTTTTCTCGGACGAATTCAAATTTCTGTAAGCTGGTCATTATCTTATTCCTTCCTTCGCGTCTCTTTTCGGGAAAAAAATAAATAAATTATTCGGTCGAGCCCCCAAAATATGTAGGATAGTTTAGTTACTATTAAATTTTCCCGCTTATTCAGTTGCAGAACAAAAGTAATAATCCAAAATGTTTTGGAAAAAATTGTACATCAAGTCAAAATTATTAGAAATCATACTCGATTCTCTTCGTCAAATCTCAAAGTGTCTTTTAGAAAGTATTACAATACAAAGTACATAAAATTGAACAATTGAACTCGCGTCTCCTCTTCAAATGTCCAGCCGGCTGCTGATCTATATCTTGTTCTTTTCTTTCGTCGACGTCGGTGAGGCTTTAGTTTTGTTACAATGTAACTAACGTTCTGTGAGTTAAGGTTTCCAACTATCGTGAGGTTTCCTCAATCCCACATTAATATCTTCTGAACAAAATAACCTATTAAAAAACGAATGAGGTCAAAATAAAGGTAATTAGGATATATTTCACTTGGTGGACATAATTGTTTCCCTTTGTTTATATTTTTAAGCCAGAAACACCTATTAACCAAAAAATATATAAATATATATTTTTAAAATTTGTTTTCGAAAAGGTTACACTGTATATGTTACACTGTATATGTTAAATTATCTTTAAATTAGCATCAATACGTTTGTGATTGGTCAAATAGTTTCCGAGATATTATAAATATAAAAAATATAAAAGTTAAACTTGAACCTCTTTTATTGGCTTTAGTTTTTATGTGCGCCAAATAACCTTCATATGGTTGAAATCAGCATGAAAAGTTCTATTTATCTATTTTTTCGGACTATATCTGTCTAAACGCTGGAGTACGGGAACAGGTTAAATGTGAATAAGAAAAAGTAAACAAACAAGCACCCCAACGAAAACTCTTGACAGTTGTTCATAAACTTAAAACGTTAAACAAAAGGTTTTCACTTAATAGAGGTCTTGCTAAGTTACATTTAACCCAGTTAATTTTAAATGATCTTGGAAACTGAACATTAAATAATTTTGACGGCCCTAAATATCACCTAATTCCTCAGCAATATATATATCCGTGTTCGACCAAAGTTTATAAAGTTGGTCGGCTACCGTGACGTCAAGCGCTTTTTTCAATGTTTACTGGGCACTGTTTAAAGCACAAAAAAACAAGCCCAAGTAAGAAATAAAAAGATTTCCACTGAATAGATGTTTTGCTAAATTACATTTAACCCAGCAAAGTCTTAATTATCCCGTAAACTGAGTGAGTAATTTTGACGGCCCTAAAAAGCTCCTAAATATCACGAAATTCCTCAGGAATATTTATGCGTGTTCGTCCAAAGTATATAATGTTGGTCGGCTACTGTGACGTCAAGCGGTTTTTCAATGTTTACTGGGCAATATTTTTTAGCGATTTTTTAATGTTTGACGGGCGATATTTGCAAAGCGCATAAAAAGCACAAAAAAATAAACCCAGATAAGCAGTAAAAAGTAGTCACACTATGTTTTGCTAAGTTACAGTTAACCCAGCAAAGTCTTAATTATCTCGGAAACTGGATGAGCTCCTATAATTATTTTGGTGACTCTAAAAAGCACCTAAATAGCACGTGATTCCTCAATAATATTTATCGGTGTTCGACCAAAGTTTAAGAAAAGGGGCAGCTAGCTGACGTCAAACGGGTTTTCAATATTTACTGGGCAATATTTTTAAAGCACATAAAAAGTACAAAAAAAAAGGCCCAGATAAGCAGTGAAAAGACTGCATTGAATGAATGGGCGCGTTCATAAAACGTAGCTGTTTAGCTCATCCGCTGCAAAACTGTTGGCAACTGTTGAACCCTACAATTACGTCTTAGAAACAGCTTGATGAATATGCTGTCAGCTGATAAATGTAAACAAATGAAATTGCAATAAATAGAGATAGTTGCGCCGATAGTATTTACAATTCAACGCTGAGTTGCCGCCGTGTTGGAAAAATTGTTCAATGTTATACTGAATAAAACAGTGTATAATTATATAGCAAACATCCTAAAAACATATATTTGGAAACGTAATATTATTATAAAATATTTTAGTTACTTTATCACATCAGTAATATAAAATAGAATAAATTTATTTGCAACTGCCACTTAACAAAGCGCTATGCATTATCGCAACACTGTGTCTAGCGACAGACAACTCATTGCCAACATGTTTGCCCAGTTCTTTAGGTCCAATTATTCTGTAGACTTCCCTATAAGTGGAGACTATCCGTATGAGCTATGTCCAATCAACTCTGCTTATATTCCAGTAATATCTTCCGATGAAGTTTTACACTATTTAGAAACCTTAAAAGCGTCATTTAGGCCTGGACCTGATCATATTCCAACCTGTTTTCTTAAAAACTGCGCTGAGAACATCTGCGAGCCTTTACCAACTCTATTCAATTTGTCACTTAAACATGGCGTTTTTCCGTCAGCCTGGAAGGATTCTTTCATAATACCACTTCACAAAAACGGCAGCAGGTCCTCTATAGAAAACTATTGAGGCATAGCGAAGCTCTCCGCTATCCCCAAATTATTCGAAGCAATTATTGTTAATCAGCTGACATATTCTATATCTTCTTCAATTTCACAATCTCAACACGGGTTTTCTAAAGAAAAATCTACTATCACTAATTTATTGGAGTTTACAACTCATGTCTCAAACGGTTTTAGAGAAAATGCTCATACCGACGTAATATACGCCGATTTCAGTAAAGCTTTTGACGAAGTATGTCACTCGTTACTCATCCGTAAACTCGACCTAATCGGCTTTCAGCCCAGTCTTCTTCAGTCTTCTCTCTGATAGAACACAAAGAGTTATTGTTAATAATTGTTCTTCCAACATCATTAATGTTTCTTCAGGAGTTCCTCAGGGAAGCCACCTTGTTTCCATTCTGTTCCTGATATTCATTAATGATATTTATTCTATAATAAAACATTCAAAAATTTTAATGTATGCCGAAGATGTGAACTTTTTAAAACATTGTCCTCTATCGAAGAAAGCGGATCTGAGCAACGTGGTTAGTTGGTGTATTTCAAACTATTTATTTTATTTATTTAATCACACACAACAACCAATAGTTATATTTACTACCTAAAGTTACATGTAATTACACATCTATATAAAATAAAAAATTAATGCAAAATAAAATAATAAAAATAGAAAGTAGAGGTAAGAGTTATATAAAATGAAAAGAGAAGAAAGATGGAGAGGAAAGAGACATCAAGAGATGTCAAGACCTTTAGTATTCATTTGGCAAAATTACGCATTAGTTCGTTCTTAAAATGATTCGTGTTTTTTAAAAATCTAATCGCTGCGGGCAGGATATTCCAAAGACGGATTGAGAAAATAAAAAACTGACGTTCAGATACTAAGCACGTAAATTTAGTATTGCATATAGCAAGAGATCGGGAAGATTTGGTGAACTGTAATCGTTCCTTCAAATAATCGGGATCCTGTGTGACTATGATTTTGTGTAGTAATGTCAAGCATCTGAGTTTCAGTAGATCGTCGAAGGGAATAGAAAATATCCTTAAGGAAAAAGTAGAAATTTGTTCATAACGACCAATGCAGTAAATATACCGAGCAATGTTGTTGTAGAGGATATTAAGTTTTCTATTGCATACACTATCACAACTAGCATACAATTCACAGCCGTATAGTGTCGGTAGTAAATAAGTTTTAGATAGGAGCAGTCGAATCTTCACTGGTGTGAAGTACTGAATACTCCATAAGGATCGCAACATGCCATAAACTTTACCGATTGTATTAAAAATGTGGTTTTTCCATGTCAGCGTTCAATTAAAAATTACACCCAAGTTCTTAGCAGTGCCCACAAGTTTTATCACAGAATTGTTCATTTTTACATTATTGCAATGATCAAGGTTGAGTTTGTTTTTATATATAGAAATGCATTGAGATTTATTGGGATTTAGGATCAGGCCATTGTCACAGGCCCACATATTAATTGCATCTAGATCAGTGTTTAGGTTTTCTATGTATGCATTGATGGAGTCCAAAGGACAACCTAGATACAACTTAACGTCATCTGCATATAGATGAATATTGCAATATTTTAGCACATTTTGAAGGTCATTAACATATAACACAAATAATAGTGGACCCAGAATTGATCCTTGTGGAAAGCCTTTAGTTATAAGCAGGGATCTCGATATGGAGTCTTTTACAATTACCGCTTGCGAACGGCCAAGAAGGTATGTTTTGACTAACCTTAATGCTGATGGCGAAAAATTAAACAAATTGTCAAGTTTTAAACATAAAAGGGCATGATCCACGGAGTCAAAAGCCATGGAGTGATCAAAGAGGGTCAGAAAAGTTACGTTTTTATTGTCGATATTTACTCTAATATCATCTGCGACTTTTGGTTGTGCTGTGACACAGCTGCTGTTTTTACGAAAACCAGATTGGTATTGACTCACCATGGAATTACCATTAATGAAAAAATTAGTCTGAGTATGCATGATACGTTCTAAGACCTTTCATAAGAAAGGTAGAATCGCAATTGGCCTATAGTCGTCATTAGATTTCTTTACAGGAATGACTTTGGCCTTTTTCCAACAGTCAGGAAAGACCGACGTGGTCACAACGGTATTGAAATCGTAAGTAAGATACGACAGAATTTTAGGCAGTAAACATTTAAAAAATTTCGGGTTAACACCGTCAAAACCAGTGGCATTCGATTTGATGCCAAGTATCGCCTGAACAACATCACAATTATCGACAAACTTAAAACAGAAACCAGGCGTAACAACATTAATTTTATCAGTGTAACGATCATGACATATATTTCTATTACAAGCAGACAACTCAACCAATTTTCCATTCAACTCATTTAGATCTAAGGGTTCGTGGGTAAAATTCTTTTTGTTACCAATGCCAATTCTGCGAATACGTTTCCATGTTTGGTTTGATCCTATGGCTGTGCTAAATTGCCGTTCATAATAGGCAGATTTTCGCATTTTAATGGTTTTGTACCTTCCCTTCTCCGCTTTTTGTATTCGCTGTAGGTCTCGTCCGATTTGCACTGCTTCCATTTTAAGTATGCCTTACTTCGCTTCACAATTAGGTCTTTTATATGGTGGTTGAACCATGGACGGTTCTTGGTTTGGTTTCGTTACAGGGGGCACAAATTGTTCAAAAAGTATACTAATTTTAGACTGGAGAAATTGTATTTGTTCATTTGCTGATATCATGGCATAAATTGACCCCCAATTTACTGCATCAACAGCTTTCTCTAACTGGTGATAATCAATATGTATAAAGTCACGATATGTGTAGGAGAGCGAATTACAAGTGAAATGGAAGTCATAATTTAGAAATGTTAGATCGTGCTTGGAAAAGTTGGGCACTGATAGTTGGTCATACAGAAGTACTTTTGTCCTTGAATCTACAAAAAATACATCGAGAAGTGTATAACTGGTC